GGTTAAAGAATAAAAGGATGAACTAACAGAAGGACTAAAAGGAAGGAACCATGTTAAAAAAGAATTAAAGTTGAAAGTATAAAGGAAAAATAGCGAAAGAATGAAAAAACGGAGGAAAAATAATTATAGGATGAACGGACTAAAGAATGATGAACGAATGAATGAATGTATATTGTATATTGGGTTGTTGTAAAATCCTCATTTTAGATTTCAACTCTCTCCCTTTCTGCAGGGTGTCCCAGTATACTTGGACAATTAAAAACAATTCGACAGTGTGTCCAAAATACACTGTATTTATTAACAAAGCTTATCTTACTAAATTTCAGAACAGTGTGTCTAAAAAATTAAAACGAGATCCCAAAGTGGTTTAAAAGGTGAATATCAAAACATTTCTGTTCCTAAAACGAGTTTCATAAAACTGTGGAATAGTAAGACGACTGTTAGACTCAAGTGAACAGACCTATATCTCTTAATAAGGGGATTTCAAGCTTAATGTCGTCTTTCTATTTCACAGATTTTAAAGGTCTTCTTGTATTATGAGTAAGCGTTTACCCCTGTATATTTATAATTAAGGGCGGGGGGAAGAGTTTAAATGCTAGAGGCGTGTTGGTGGTTCTAACATTTAAAGGGTGTTTTAACCCACCTTCGCTAAACTATACTTTCCGGAATAGGTTAATTGTTCTCAATAGGAATAGAACTAAAGAGAGGGTTGTTCTTCTCAATATGAATAGAACTAAGGAGAGGGTTGTTCTTCGCAATAGGAATAGCGTTGGTTGTTCTTCTCAATATAAATAGAACTAAGGAGAGGGTTTGCTCTTCTCATTAGGAATAGAACCAAGGAGAGGGTTGTTCTTCTCATTAGGAATAGAACCAAGGCGAGGGTTGTTCTTCTCAATAGGAATAGAACTAATGAGGGGGTTTGCTCTCCTCAATAGGAATAAAACTAATGAGGGGGTTTGCTCTCCTCAATATAAATAGAACTAAGGAGGGGGTTTGCTCTCCTCAATATAAATAGAACTAAGGAGGGGGTTTGCTCTCCTCAATATAAATAGAACTAAGGAGGGGGTTTGCTCTCCTCAATAGAAATATAACTAAGGAGGGGGTTTGCTCTCCTCAATATAAATAGAACTAAGGAGGGGGTTTGCTCTCCTCAATATAAATAGAACTAAGGAGGGGGTTTGCTCTCCTCAATATAAATAGAACTATGGAGGGGGTTTGCTCTCCTCAACAGAAAAACATCTAAGGAAAGAGGAACAGTTTGTTCATCTCAATATAAATAGAACTAGTGAGAGGGTTGTTCTTCTCAATTGAATAGAAATCAAGATCAAGAATTGAATAGAAATCAAGATCAAGAATTGAATAGAAATCAAGATCAAGAATTGGATAGAAATCAAGATCAAGAATTGGATAGAAATCAATATCAAGAATTGGACAGAATTTAAGATCAAGAATTTAATAGAAATCAATATCAAGAATTGTACATAAATCAAGATCAAATTTGATGAGAAAACATATCGGGGGTTGAGTATGAATTAAGATCAAGAATGAGGAGAAATCAAGATCAAGTTAAACATTAAGAACTTGGTAACGATCAAGATCCAGAACTTGGGAAAGAATTAAGAAATGAAGTGTCTTACCTGAATTTAATCTTCATATTATGAGTATCACAGTATCCTCCGTTTCTCCGGAGAAGGTTCTCTGGATCCGAGGTGGAAATAAAGAAATAGGTTTCTCCAGGTTTAAACTCCAGCTGTCGGGGAGACGGGGAGAAATATCTAAAAAAGTTTTATTTACAAGTTATACACGGACAGCCGTAGTATATTTGAATTTCCGAGCCGGGTCAACCTTTCCGGTCCCAGTTTGTACTGTATCGCCTGGACAATGGGTAAAAAAAGCAGATACTAAATAGGACTAGCCGGTGCAACAAGACTGCCGCAGTCAGACTTGAATTTACTTTTACTAAATGGCCAGGGATGCGTGTATATCTATACAATTAATATTTGTATAATTTCTAGGGAGGGAGGGGGAGGGGGAAAGATTGCGAAAAAAATCTGTTTGTTTAAAAGGACTGTCGGCATAAACTCGTTCAACTCTTAATTAAAACATTTCCCGACATTCCCGATTCACAGCAGTACCCTTTAAACTGTTGTTTTTAGAGTAACAATATTATTTCCATTTTTCTCATTGCATTTAAAGTATAATTCACAAGCTACACTTTTACTCAGAAACCGCAATAGAAAATTGAAAGTTTTTAGACAGAAAAACACAAATATCTTCTTTATACACAGAAATAGGTATTCTATTACTAGGTACAGATGTAACGAGACATTTTACTCATTTAACGAGGTGGTACTAGACAATTACGTGTACAGTCCCTTTAAATTCCCAAATTTAATTGTATAATACAAAAAATTACGTGTACATTTCATTTCATTTATATACCTGAATGTAATTGTAATGTAAATAAAATTACGTGTACATTTCCCCTAAATACCTGAATGTAATTGTAAAGTATAGAAAGTTTTGAGGTTGATCACAAACTGCAACTATTAGAGCAGAGGCTGAGCTACCAACCTCACATCGATCAAACTCATCTAAAAAAACGCATATTTTTCATTTTACAAACAAATCAATTTTAAAACAGAAAGTAGAAGAATTGGAAGTAAAAATAAAATGAATGAAAGAATGCAGGAATGCTATAAATCACGAATTAAGCAAAATCAAAGATTTAAAAATTTAAATCTGAACGAGTAAATCAAGAATTCAAGAATATGTACAACTAAGCCTCATAATGATATATTTAAGATATTTTTTGCTTATTAGTTTTGTTTATAAAACAAAACTACAAAAAAACAATTCGAAAACATCCAAGGCAGGAAGTCTAAAGGGTCATTGTTAAATTTTTTAGAAAACTTTTTTAGAAAAAAATAAAAAGAATGATAAGGATTTTGTTAAAAATTACGTTATTAATACATCATAGGTTTTACATAATAATCAAACAAAAAATATTTTAGGCAACATGACACAGGACAGTGTCTAAATTTACACAATGAATTGTTATAATGCATAAATTGAAAATTGTGATAACATCTCTCCCCCCCCTCTCCCCCCCATGCATCCGTCCTGTTTAATTTGCAAGGATGAGTGAATGGCGAAACTGCTTCTAAATTGTAATAAAATCCTTCAAAAGGTTCGCAGACAAATAGTTCATATGAACTGGTTTAGTTCAAGTCATAGAGGACAGATTTTTATAGAGATGCACAGTTCGATTTTTTTTTCTCAAAATTGTTGTTAAAAATTACGAAGAGAATGCTAGAGATATAGCATTTTTTAAGATAAACGTCTAACACTCTGTTCAAAATTTCGAACATAGCGGTCGAAATTTCGAAATGCATTTTTCCGATCGTTAGATTTTTAAGAATACTACATCAATAATTATTAAATTATTTCCACGCTCTTGGCCTTAAATTACAATTTTAGCTATTTTCCTCTATAAAATTCAACCCACACGTACTCAACTTAGAATCTAAAAGAAAATTTCGTGGTACTCCAATCGAAATTTGAGGCAAATCGGTCCGGTATTTTTTTTTCGAGTTATAATAGGCCAAACAAACAAAGATTATTTCTTTATATAAAGAAAAAGTAGATTAACGCATGTCAAAATTTACAGTTTAATGTCTGCCACTGCAAAGCTTGAAAATGATATTATATTTAATACTAGCTGCTGAATTTAGGTTTACAGTTTAATGTCTGCCACTCCAAAGCTTGAAAATGATATTATATTTAATACTAGCTGCTGAATCTATGTTTACTGTTCAATGTCTGCTACTGCACAAAGCTTGAAAATGATATTATATTTAATATTAGCTGCTGAATCTATGTTTACTGTTTATCTAAAGTTATGCTTATCTTTAAATGAAATCTAAAGTAAGAATCACCAAAAATATTCTTATTTTGTTCCTTCTCGTCAATTTATAATTATGTGTGGACGAACACAAATATAGCTAAAGGGACTGTACGCGTAATTTCAAGCGAACCTCCATGCAAAGGCGGAAATACCCGATTCACAACGATACCCTTGAAATCCTAATCTGATCATAAATATGGAAGATATTGTCGTTTTCTAGACTTCAGCGGAGTTTGGTTTGATAAATCCTATAGACAAAGCTTTTTAAGGTACCGTTGTGAATCAGGCATTGTCATCTTTGCATGAAGTGTCACTTGAAATTAAGCTTAAAGCCCCCTTTAGTATATAATATCACTAATCACTAATTATGCATCAAAATTAATTTTCAAATAGGGATTTAATTGAAAAAAATCTAAAATCATGTTGTTTGTAGATATATTGAAAATGTTTAATTTTGTTTTCTTTGTTCATTTGAAAGTTGTGTTGCACGCTAAACTAAAACTTACTTTTTTCTATAACTTAGTTCAGCGTGTGTGTTTTCTAAGGATATTTTAAACCACACAGAAATAAAAAAGAGGGCGCAAAGTCGTACTAAAAATTGCTCAGCGTGAATACATCGTTATCTATAATAAAGTGTGAAAATAATGTGCTTTGTTACTGTATATATTTACTGCCAATTTTCTACGTATATATAATATGCAACTAAGTTTAAAGTTAATATTTCTAAATACTGGTGGTAGAAAAAAACAAAGCCTTTGTAAGCCAGGCAGAAGGGAAGGGTGATATTGAGTATACAATCATAAAANGATAGGGGGGATAACCCTCTTTAAATAATAAAATACAATAATGATTATAATGAAGAAACTAACTCTTGTTGATTATAAACTAATATATTCTGGACTGCAAGCATGAGAGTAAGATATGACAATGTACATGTCAGCATGAACTAGGTATATTTAATACATAGTAAATACATTGTAGACATATGTCCGGTCCATGGTCAGATATATGCATTTAAATTGGATACAATTGCAAAGAAGGGGGGGGGGCAAAAGAGGGGACATGCAGATAAGGGGATTATAGTTTTTAATGAAGGTTGAGAGGTCAGTTTACTAAAACTATCTTCTAGAAGTCCAAGCGTCATGTTTACAACATAAAATGAAAAAATGTTGTCATGGTACACAGAATTAAAAAGGGACAAAGACAAGCCTACAAGAAAAAACGGACAAACATAGAAAAAGACAAAATCATACCTAGAAGAAGACAAAATCAAACCTAGAAAAAGACAAAATCAAACCCTAGAAGAAGACAAAATGCAACCTAGAAGAAGACAAAATACAACCTAGAAAAAGACAAAATGAAACCTAGAAAAAGACACAATTAACCCCAGAACAAGACAAAGTTAAATCTAGAAAAAAACAAAGTGAAACCTAGAAAAAGACAAAATGAAACCTAGAAGAAGACAAAATGAAACCTAGAACAAGACAAAATGAAACATAGAAGAAGACAAAGTGAAACCTAGAAGAAGACAAAATACAACCTAGAAGAAGACAAAGTTAACCCTAGAAAAAGACAAAATGAAACCTAGAAGAAGACAAAATAAACCCTAGAAGAAGACAAAATGCAACCTAGAAGAAGACAAAATACAACCTAGAAAAAGACAAAATGAAACCTAGAAAAAGACACAATTAACCCCAGAACAAGACAAAGTTAAATCTAGAAAAAAACAAAGTGAAACCTAGAAAAAGACAAAATGAAACCTAGAAGAAGACAAAATGAAACCTAGAACAAGACAAAATGAAACATAGAAGAAGACAAAGTGAAACCTAGAAGAAGACAAAATACAACCTAGAAGAAGACAAAGTTAACCCTAGAAAAAGACAAAATGAAACCTAGAAAAAGACACAATTAACCCCAGAACAAGACAAAGTTAAATCTAGAAAAAAACAAAGTGAAACCTAGAAAAAAACAAAATGAAACCTAGAAGAAGACAAAATGAAACCTAGAACAAGACAAAATGAAACATAGAAGAAGACAAAGTGAACCCGAGAAGAAGACAAAATCAAACCTAGAAGAAGACAAAATCAAACCTAGAAAAAGACAAAATCAAGGCTAGAAGAAGAAAAAGTCAAACCTAGAATAAAAAAGTTAAACCTATAGATAAACAAAGTTAAACCTATAAACTAAAAACATGTGTACAGTATACAAATGTTTAAACGTTATGTTTGTACATAATTATCATGTATGTAAATATGTTACAAATTTAAGCATATCTAAATATAAAATTTATCATTGACTCGATTATAAAAATCAAATGTAGATATTTATACATATATAGATATAAAACTTAAAGATTGAAGATAAGAAGATTTTTTTGCATAATCATTTTTCAAAAATAAATTAAGAAAACAGAAATACATAAAAAGTAACTGAACACTTTAAAGATTAAACATTTGATCTTATAGACTTTTTACAGCATGAAAATCAAAGGTTTATAACATCAGGTTGCAGAGAGTTTAAAACAAAATTTAGACTATTCTTCGATTTCTATATGGAAAAAATCTAATTTTGTTTACCTTTATTAACACTATATATGACGTGCTTCTCCGTGGTTCTGGGCCCCGACGGACAAATGATATTAATCTGATCATACTCCCACGGCCCCGTGTTCTTGTTTACGTCGATCAGGGTGGGGTTGGACGAGGAGAAGATTGGGTTGGTCGAGTTCCAGTAGATGTTGATCGGATCCCGTCCCAAACCAGGCTCCACAAACAACAACAACAACAACAACAACATGTTCACATACTTCACAACAGCTTTAGGAAACCGCAAAGTTCTCATAAAAGTACTTAGAATTATTTTTAAACGTCCATTTGTCGACGACGGACAGTGGTGTACTCCAACGAATGTTAGATCGAACTGAGCATCTATCTCTGGGCGGTAATGTAAACACAAGACGGATGTCGAAGCCTGACATGGGATCTATCTTTCACATAAAAATATCAATGAAATATTCTGGTCAAAGGAAACTATTATGTGAATTATCAAAATTATCAAAATTTAATGCTTTTAACCTCCTCGGATACTACACGAACACTGATGCATCTATTCGTGTTTACAAATTCCGGAGAGAACTGCTTTCATTATGTACGCAGAGTATACGCAACTGCATTAACTTTCCTTGCATTACAACCTTGATTGCGAGTTTCTATTTTACATTTCCTGATCGCACCCAAGTAGATTATCAAGTACAATAGGTGGCAACAAAGAAATGGACTAATCATACACGACGTCACAAGTCTCAAATATAACAAGGAAAAATGAAATTTTCTCACATTAGTTGACATGTTTTCCAAGATTAGATGAAAAAGTGTTAAAACAGAAAATAAAGAAAACATAAAATTGTACTTATTTTACTGTAAGATAATAATTTTGTCGGACACATAAAACTGTTGACACTTGTGACGTAAGAATACAGCTGTACTAGGAGTGTACAAACTATAAGTTGACATCTATTGTACTAGAATCTATTTGATCGCACCTACCGTTAATTTCAAGGTTGTATAATGTTTGTTACTCTCGATGCGCTCCAATGTACGGAAAATGTCGTCTCCTAAGATAGACCTTATATGACGTCACTGATTAAACAGGCGAGAGTGACGTCATATGAGGTTATATTTCTATCTATCTTAGAAAACGACAGTTTCCGTACATTAGAGCGCATCGGGAGTAACCCGCCTTATTGTACAACCTTGGTTAAAGTAGGTTGAAAAGATAGTTGGTCCAATGTTTAAAAAAGAAGAAAATACGTAAAGATTGAATTGAACCCAAGTTTTAAACCGACATATATTTCTAGGAGAGAGTTTAACAAGAATTAAAAATATACTCTATTTAAAATCACGCAATCTCGTCAGAGAAATGTAATTTCAAGGGATCCTCATATGTAAGAGTTATTGGTCCGAATCACACTGGTATCATTAAAACATTATCAGATAAGAAATAAGGAAGATATCGTCGTTATCTTTTTATAAAATGGTTTAATTTATCTGTCCTTCTTATTTCCGCAATTGACTGAAAGACGGAGAAACCGCAAGCTGTCCAAACTGTTTATCAAAATGATTTAACGTGACTGGACGTAATTTCATAGGATTTTCCATTCATAGAATTTACGATTCACAACGGTACCCTTGAAATCTTTGTCTGATTAAATATTAATTTTATATATATCCATATTTCTCTTTTTACAAAAACTGATTATTTTCAATTGTGGTTTCTCTTGTAAAATGACTTGGACATTTCTATTGCAGAAGCAAAGGATATGAAATTATCACTTTTCAATTTAGAAATATGGAATATGGAATATGGAAGGTTGCCTTCCATATTAAAACTAATTAGATATGTTTTAATATGCTTTGATATTTGTTGTTTACATGTCAGAAAATTAATTTAAACTCTAGTTATTCTAATCAATGTATAAACTATTTTGCATAAGATAAAATCGCACCCTGATCTCTAATAGTTCTCCTTAAATCTATTAAATTGAAATGTATTGTTATCATTATTGAAATTAGGTGGAAAAAATAATCAAAACAGCCAAGAGCTATTTTCCACATAATTGCTTTATACTTTTACTGTTAATATAATCATCAATTTGTAATTGTAAACTCGTTCTGTACACAGATACATGTATTTTAGCAATAAACGTTATCTATCTATCTATCTATCTATCTATTATTGGTTAAATAAAGGGTTTAGGATACCTGTGTGAATGAGATATAAAATGGAGAGTAACTTTAACGATCAATATTTTTTTATTTTTGTTTTGACCGTATATACTATATAGCCCGTCAGGGTGAAATGTTTCAAGTGACCCGCCCTAATCCCAACGGTACCCCTGATTAATAATGAGGACGAAATAGGCGTTTTTCAAGGTTTAAAAGTGTTTAATTGTGCTAATTCATACTTTTCAAAGCTCTTAATTTGATACCGTTGTGAGTTTGCCATTTTTGCATGAAGGTTCACTTGAATTTACGCTATCAGTCCCTTAAAGCAAACTTGTGGAGCCTCTGAAAAGAAAATAAACCTTGTTAGTTTTTAGACGAACCAAAATACAATGCCTATATCGAGAATAATTTTTTTTGCTGAAATATAAATATGGTGTTGAAAAAATTGGCAAAATCTGTGATATGACATGGCACGGAGTGTTTTGACAGCGCGCTGACAGCCCATCCACTGCCGTGCACAGTGCACAGCTAGTGCATCTTTCTTTTCTTTACTTATCTCTAGTAAAAAATTAGATAAAATGACATTTACTGCCAAGTATGGACAGTTAGAAGGAACCCTAAAATGTTTTTAGTAATAATGAACTACAACGGAAAGCATTTAAAAAATACGAACATTTTGTTTAAAATTATGAACATAATTTTAGGATATTACTCACATTGTTATATATCTCTCTACCATTATTTCAATTTGGGTGATGAAATATCTTCTTAATATTGATATTCTTAATACTAAACAAAATAATATTAAAATTATAACAGATGTTTACCCTTTTAAAATACTCTGCTTTAAAAACGAGCAAAAGGTCGCTGTTAAATAAATTTGCCAAGTCACATTCTAATTAGCTCTTCACTAATTATCTATACTTAAACATCTTTACGGCGGCGTTGTAAACAAACAGTTTAGAGATATTAAATCATGTTTTAGAGTTAAATTATTGAGTCGTTGAATGCCAACAAGTTATCTATTGTTAAGTATCAATTTTAACTTAAACTGTCATGGACGCCATCGTTTGCGATCAAGGAAGCATAAATTCATGACATAAAAGGGGCTATTTCTTAATTGTGAGTGACCCTTTAGTTTTCTGAGGGAGATATCGTCGGTTTTCAATCTTGAACAGACATAATTCTGTCATTTATCTTCTTTGGCTGTGTTGTATAATGATGCAATAGAATTAGCCTTAAATTGATTTTCAAGCAAGGAAAGTGAGATCCATAAAAATGTTCAATATAAAGAGGACATTTCAGCAGTCTCATGTTTATTTGATGTTGTTATAAAGAGAATAGTTTTATCAGTAGGTTGAAAACTGTACACCTGCTGTGTTTTATGGACTATTTAAAACTTTTAATAGTCGTCTTCCAATGACACAGATTTACGGCCCCCACTGTACAGTGTACAGTAAACAGTGTACACTGTACAGGTTACTCCGAATCGTGCTTAGCTATGTAAAAGATTTATACGTTCAGGGGAAGTCTTCATTGTGATACAGAGTCTTTATTGTGATACAGAGTCTTCAGTGTGATACAGAGTCATCAGTGTGATATAGAGTCTTCAGTGTGATACAGTTTCTTCATCGTGATACAGTTTCTTCATCGTGATGCAGATTCTTCATTGTAATACATTACATAGTCTTTATTGTGATACAGTCTCCATTGTGAAAAGGGGAATTCACTGTAATACAGAGTCTTCAGTGTCATAAGAGTCTTCAATGTGATACAGAGTCTTCACTGTAATACAGAGTCTTTAGTGTGATACAGAGTCTTCAGTGTGATACAGAGTCTTTAGTGTGATACAGAGTCTTCAGTGCATGTGATAAAGAGTCTTTTTTGTGATACAGAGTCTTCAGCGTGATACAAAGTCATCATTGCCCTTTAAACCACTGTCTGATCAGGAATTGAATGAGATATTTTTTTTCCTAGCGGAAAATTTTTTATCTTTATTTAAGGTTTCTCTGTGAACGTGACTTGTGGAAAACAAGTTAAGGAAATATTCAGAATTAAACACTTTAAGGGTAGAAAGACGAAATTATCTACTTTATTGTTAATAAGATAACAGTTTAAAGGGTGCCATTGTGAATCGGATATGACACTGCATAATTTGAAATAATGCCTACTGTCCCTTTAACTAAAAATGATACACGAATACTTGTTTTCTAGATTGTAAAGTTTATTGATCATTAAAGATTTGATTGGAGTATTCAGTTTAGGCTTTATTGTTGAAGCTGAGTCATGTTTAGAAAATCAAAATTTTATTATTTAATTAATGAATGTTTAGATCATTAGGGTTTAATTAAATCTAGTGATGAGATGAATCTCTAGTATCTTTCTTGGGTAGACTCAATTTACACAACTAAAATTAAACAATGTTAATGTACAGACTTACTCACAAAGGATAAGACTGTACGGAATGTACAGGGTGTCTCAATAAACATGGGAATTCAGTGACGAATTCATTATTGTTTTTGTTATGAATTAGCATTGTAATACCTGATTTAAAAGACATGATATTATTATTATGTCTGCTACGCCCCCCCCCCCCCTTTTACATGTCTAGGGTGGGGGCACTGCCCCCCATGCCCTCCCGTGTACGCCCTTGACAATTATAACTGAAACTGAACCTATGGTGTTGCTTGTACAGTGAGGTTTAAATATCATTTTGTTTATAACTGAAACTAAACCTATAGTTTTGCTTTACAGTGAAGTTTAAATATTGTTTTGCTTTATAACTAAACCTAGTTTTGCTGTATATAAAGGTTTAAAAAATGCTTTGCTCTACAGCAAAACCTGCCCCCAATTTTTCTATTTTTCATGTGCCTTAACTGAACCTTAATCTAGTTTCCGAGGTTTCAAATAAAATAATAAACAAAACATTAAAACATAAAATATTTGTAAAACTACTGCAGCAGGAGAGCTTTGAAAGATTAGAAGCTGTTGTCACAAAGCTCTCCGGTGATCCTATAAGATATAAATAGTTTTTTTTTAAGAAGGTTAGAAAAAGGTTCATATTTCATATTTATTTCATATTTTATTCAACTACAAAGCACGAGATAATACAAATAAAAAAAATCACAATTTACTATGTAGTTTGGACCCGCCTAACCAGAGTAGGTTGTTTTAATTGGTTGGCCCACTATAAACGAATG